CCGCAGGCACAGCAGCTTCACAACAAGGAGCCTGTCTACATTTTCGGTGCGTACCTGGTGAAGTCCGACAACGGCGGCGTCCACCTCACAGTGCGCAACTCCACCATTTTCACCCAGCCCACAGGCTCCTCTCCCAAAGTGGCAGCGATGCTTGCCGCTGGCGTCCGAGACCTCGCCAAAGACGACCTGGCCAGCCTCTCGGTGTACGACTCCACGAACTACAAAGATGGGCCTGCCGTGAGTTCCACGTCGGCAATTCTGGACATGCTCTTACAGAGCAAGGCCGTGGCTCCAGATAAGCTGTTCGAAATCCCCGCCGCATCCTTTCCCCTCAGCGACACGGAGAACTTGCTGACCAAGGCCGGGGACCGCGTGTGGGCGTCCGTGCGCATGTCCGACTACACCGGCTCGGTCGACGCTAAGATCACGGAGACGGCTGCCCTCGCGTTGACGGGGTGCGCTGACAAGACCGAGTTCCAAGACGAAGTCGCGCAAGGGTCCATGACGTGGTCTCGGGCGCGCGCCCGCGCAACGCTGGCTGCGTCCCGTGGCGCCCAGGACGACCAGGCTAACGAACCTCGCCTCGCTATCGTGTGTGCAGAGCCTTGCCTTTTCGACGTCACCGAGCCGTTGCTCGCCCCGCAGAACGACAGCCGCCTTGTCCCTACTACAGCCCGCGCCATCTCGATGAGTGCCACGGGGAAGCTCTGCGTCGCTATCGGCTCTTCGCGGTTCCTGGCCAGCGGGGCCATCCTACTCGTCGAGGCCACGAAGGGCCCAGACACCACCCCGCGCGACGACGGCTTCGCCATCACCAACTACGTCACAGACGTAGCGGAGACTGACACCGAGCAGAAGACCGCCTGGATGGCCACCACGGCTTGTCCGACAAGGCGTCTGGGCAGGTACGCCTTGACCAAAAAGGACCGGGCGCTTATCTTGGTCACATTCGTCAACGGGACGGAGTCAGAGCTCACTGTCGCCGACATGTGGAAACTTGCGCCCGGCATCGACCCCGGCGCGTTCACGACCGAAATTGCCGCGGCAGCTGACGTCCTCACCAACCGCCTGACGCGCTCCAAGCGCAAGGCCGACGACGACCTTAGTGACTTCTTCGGGCCCGCCGCCAAGCGGATCCACAAGACGTTCTGTGGCCCCGCGAGCATCGCAGAGTGAGCCTGCCCCGACGCATCTCTTCTGTTTTCGCCGCGCCTCCCGAGTGCTTGCCCCTCTTCCACCCTCTGATTCTCGTCTCTGCCCCGCCCTCTTACATCCCTCGTGCATTCCGCCATCCAACCATGGCCCGTCCTCAACCGCCGCCTCTGCCAGGCCCGTGCCATTCTAATACGGGGCCGTCCTCCATGAGTGTACATCGGCGGTTGGAAGGAATGTGGACGGAAGCGATTCCAACAGGAACATCGGTTTCGGTTTTGGTTCGTGCCCATGGAGCCCTAAAGGTCGCCCCCCCAAGCGCGCCTTCCAGGTTGTGCTGATGTTGCCCCGATGGCTGTCCCGGTGGTTGTCCCGATGGTTGCCCCAATGTTTCTCCCGACGGTTCTCCCGATGGTTCTCCCGATGGGCGCCGATGGTTGCCCCGATGTTTGTCCCGATGGTTGTCCCGACGGGCGCCCCGATGGTCGCCCTGAGGTTGTCCCGCATGTTGTCCCAATGGTTCTGCCGATGGCGATCGTTGACCCGATGGTTGTCCTGGTGATTCTATTGATGGTTGTCCCGAAGGTTCTCCCGATGGTTGATCCTACGGTTGCCCCGATGGTTGCCCCGGTCGTTGTCCCGATCGTTGTCCCGAAGGTGGCCCCGACGGTTGTCCCGATGATTGTTCCGACGCTTGTCCCGATGGTTGCCTTGTTGTTTGTCCCGACGGTTTGCCCGATGCTTCTCCGGATGGTTGGCCCAATGACTGTTCCGATTTGATGGCTGCCCCGATGGTTGTCCTGATGGATAGTGGTTCCTCCGATGTTTGCCCCGATGGTTCTCCCCGTGGTTGTCCCGATGTGTGTCCCGATGGTTTGCCCGGTGGTTCTCCCGATGGTTGGACACAACGATTGTTCCGATGTGACGGTTCTCCTGATGGTTGTCCCGATAAATGGGGGTTTTCCCGATGGTTGTCCCAATGATTGTCCGGTGGTTGTCCCGCTGGTTGTCCTGGTGGTTGCCCCACTGGTTGTCCCAATGGCTGTCCCGATGGGTGTCCTTATGAATCTCCCGATGGTTGTCCCGAAGGTTTGCCCGATGTTTGTCCCAATGGTTGTCCCGATGGTTCTCCCGATTGTTCTCCCGATGGTTGTCCCGACGGTGGTTGTTTCGGATGGTTGCCCCAGTGGTTCTCCCGATGAATGTCCCGATGGTTGATCCGATTATTGTCCAGACGGGTCCCGCAGATTGTTCCGATGGTTGTCCCAATGGTTGCCCGGATGGTTGTCCCGATGGTTGTCCCGATGGTTGGCCTGATGGTTGTCCCGATGTGATGGTTCTCCCGATGGTTCTCCCGATTGCTACGTGTTGTCCCGATGCTTGTCCCGATGGTTGTCACGATAGTTGTCCTGTATGTTGCCCCGATGGTTGTCCGGGTGGTTGCCCCGATGGTTGTCCCGGTGGTTGTCCCGATGGTTGGACACAACGATTCTCCCGATGTGACGGTTCTCCTGATAGTTGTCCCGGTCAATAGGAGTTTTCCCGATGGTTGTCCCGATGGTTGTCCCGGTGGTTGTCCCGATGGTTGTCCCGGTGGTTGCCCCACATGTTGTCCCAATGGTTGTTCCGATGGGCCTCCTTATGAACCTCCCGATGGTTGTCCCGAAGGTTTGCCCGATGCTTGTCCCAATGGTTGTCCCGATGGTTTTCCCGATAATTCTCCCGATGGTTGTTTCGGATGGTTGTCCCAATGGTTCTCCCGATGAATGTCCCGATGGTTGATCCGATCATTGTCCAGATGGGTCCCGCAGGTTGTTCCGATGATTGTCCCGATGGTTGCCCGGATGGTTGTCCGATGGTTGCACCGATGGTTGTCCCGATGGTTGTCCCGATATGATGGTTCTCCCGATGGTTGTCCCGATTGATACGTATTGTCCCGATGCTTGTCCCGACGGTTGTCACGATGGTTGTCCTGTTTGTCGCCCCGATGGTGTTGCCCCGATGGTTGTGCGGGTGGTTGCCCCGATGGTTGTCCCGATGGTTGTTCCGACGTTTGTATCGCTGGTTCTCCCGATGTTTGCCCCGATGGTTGTCCCGATTTTGTACTCCTGGTTGTCCCGATGCTTGCCCCGATGGTTGCCTTCATGGGTGCCGTCATGTTTATCCTGATGGATGTCCCGGTTGACATTTACCTATACAAACATGTCGAAAATGTATGTGTGAAGACATATTTTGATATATATATATATATATATATATATATATATCTGGTTACCTTTTGAACGACCGGTTTATGGACAGGTGTCTATATATATGTATATACAAGCATGCACACATACATGCATACATACAATCATGTCTAGATATATTGATACATATACGTAATACGATAGGGATTTCGAACAATAGTACAAAGGGAAATCGATATATACAAATATAGACAGACGGGCAGATGTGCGCGACAATGATAGGCACGAAGACACCACAGAACCAAGAGCCATCGCAAATCGACCCCCCCTGACTTTTCCCCAAGAAAAAACCCTTATCGGCCGAAGACTGCTTCTCTCGGTAGCCCTAGTAGTATCACTTCACGACGTCGCACGGGCGAACCCCGTTCCGCACACAATCAGAATTGGAGTTCTGTCACACCGTGCCTCTTTCTGTTGGGTGCCTGCGCGTAGCTTTGTTTTGTGATGGCGGCGCGGAGCATCACCCGCATTTTAAAGAGCAGCCCCTAACCAAAAAACAGAACAAAAAGAGGTGGGACCTTGAACCGGCCTGCCTCCTAGGGCTGTTGTGTTCCCAATGCGCAACGTGAAAAAAACATCGCCAACCGTCGCAGTCATCCCATGAAGGTTTGCGGCATGCGATGCCACATTCCTTTGGCCCTTGGACTTCATTTCGAGTCGATGCCCGGACTTACCTCTTTGGCGTTCTCCTGCTGCTCCTCCTCCTCCGTCGGAGACGGATCCGGGGCGGAAGGCCCCTGGGAGGACCTCCTCCTCCTCCCCCTCCCCTTCCTCCTCCTCCTCGTCCTCGTCCTCCTCCTCTTCCTCCTCCTCGTCCTCCCTCCCTCCTCCTCCGCGCCGCGGGCGTTCAAGGTGGAACGCCGCCCATGGTCCGGGATCGTCATATGTTGAACGATCCGGCTCATCGAGAAGTCCCGATCGTTGAAGGTCGACCGATCCACGCGGTCTCAGAAGCCAGCGCCGACGTCGTCGCGACGGGAGCCTGCCGTACATGGTTGGCGTTGTCCAGCAGCCCCCGTTTTGAGATGGCTTGTGGCTGTGCTGCGTGGCTAACGACCCTTCCCCGCTCGCGGGGGTCCTGGCAATGGTTGCCGCGCTTCCGTGCGCACGCGTGGCAGTCAGCCCTCTTTGGTGATCCGAATTTGTAAAACATCCATGATGAGCGATTCGACTTGATGACGCCCGGTCATACGTATTGATTCATATTCCGCGGCGTGAGCGCGTCCAACACGCGTTCCTTCGCGTGGAGGCCTCTGTGAGCCGATTGTGTGAATCGTGCGCTGATCTGTACTTCCAAAAGCGTACTGTCACAAAGGCGTGGGCCCCTGGAGGGCCGCGGAGACACGTTTCTTCACCCCCCCGTGAAAGGACACCGCCCTTCGTCCTCCTCTTCCTCCTCCTCTTCCTCCCTCCTCTTCATCCTCTTCCGCCCTCCCCCTCATCCTCCTCCTCCCCTTTTTCCTACTTGAAGCAATGGTCGTGGATCCAGGCTACCAGATCCATTCCAGCTTACTCCAGCTGCCTGCGGCAAGTTCCGCCGCCATGCCAGCTCAGCACCCTGCCTGGCGATTGCGCCAGCACCGCACAACAAATCGTAACATGTGACACCTCGTGTCCCGTGGCCTGAGTAAGCCATAACCGAAATGATGATGCTCTTTAAGATTGTCTTGATTCTTTCCGGAAGACCGCTTGGGCCAGGTTGGGGCTTCGCCCAATCCGTCCAGTGTCGGAGCTTCTCGGGCCCTCTGGAAAACAGTTTAACGCTTCGTTAGCGTTTCTTCTAGAGCCCCTTCACGTTCTTCAGGGGACGTGAATCACTTTCGGGATCTCTTCTGTGATATCTTGATGCCTCCAGGAATGCCGTTGCATTGTCACCACACCTGGAGCTCGGAAGAAAGATCTCTGAATCTCTGGAGGCTGGGAGCTTCGCCGCACTCAGGGTTTCGAACACCTCCCGAAGCCCCTCCAAGCGCCCACGGTCCGTCGAGAGACACGATAGTGCACGCAATTAGACTCATGTGCAAGAACTCGGGGGGGTCCGCCATGGTGCACACACCGCCCATGCCTGCACTGCCACCCATGCGCAGCGGCGGATCGAAAAAAACAGTCGATCATTTGGCATATCGCCGTGCGTCAGCTGGTGAACGCAAGTCGTTTCCAACAGCTGACCGCGTGCGCGCCAGATGTGCATACCGTCGTTTTTTGGCTCCAACTCGGCCACGTTGGTGACCAACACCCGGCGCTGAGCATCCGCCCGCGCGCCGTGAACAACCGTGTTCTGGCCAGAGTTCCCCATACACGGCGTTTTTGCTCGACCGTTGATGTCTGGCAACCGTCCCTTGTGCCGTGGACGCCGTGAGGCGAAGAAGACTACTCCTTTCGCCCAGTCCGGTTACGACGGCTACTGCAAGGGCTGCTACCGCACGCTCTTCCCAGACGCGTACAACGAGAAGCAAGCGGCCCGGAAGTCCACGTGCAAGTTCTGTGGCCTATCCCGCGAGCTTGTGAACAAAACCATGTGCAAGCCGTGCGCCAGACAACGAAGTTGCCACGTCGACGGCTGCACGTGGTTCAACCAGGAAGGCAATCCGTTGCGATGCACTGCTTGTGACAATAGAACCACGAAGGCGCATGCAATTGCGAAATTGTGTGCAATGAGATGCCCCACTCACACCACTGCCGAAGAGCGCGCCCTGGGTCTGTGCCATTCGTGTGCGTCCACGACCATCTCGTGTGCGCTGTGCTGCGCGCCGGTCCCCAGTGCCTCTGTCACCAATGCGACATTCTCGACGCCCGCGTGCCGCTCGTCATTTTCTTTATGTCTTACATGCGCAACGTCTTCTGTCAAAGACACGTGTAAAACGTGCTGGATTGCAGAAGGGCGCCTGTGTAGATACTGCACCTCGACCACAGCACACACACACAATACACCAACGAACGGTATTGCTGGACGTGTGCGACTAAACGTTGTTGCGACGTGTGCCGGCAGCTACCACCTCCCAACGCACCACTCGCTGGCTGCACCATGTGCGACGACCTCGCCCTGTGGTGCCCAACGCACACCAGTGACGAAGAACGGCAATCAGGGTTGTGCCGACGACACTTTGACGACCCCGCTTGCGGGTACTGCTATCGGACGGTAGATCCTGTGACTGAACAAGAACTGGTGGTTGCGCGGCTACCGTGCGCATCGGCGAATTGCCCTCGGTATGTCCGTCTGTGCAATCTGTGTTCCACGCATTTCCAAGACTCCGCTGCCTTGTGCGACACGTGCTGGACCCTGGCCGGGGACGTATGCATCATATGCAAAGAGAGACCAGCACGGAACGAAAGGAGTTACATGCACTGTTGCAGGCCCTGTTTCGCGGGGCAGTCGCCAGCCGTGCTTTCTAAATTGGTGCAGGACGAAAGTGCATCGTACCTGGACTCTCTGCCACCAGCGCAAACGTGGTCGGGCGCAGAGCCTGCGTTGCAGTGGATCACGAATGACGATGCTCCATATGCAGCCTTACCGCCGTACCAAACCACAGCGGAATTCACCGACCCAGACCATTGCCGATTGTGTCTTGCGACAGTGCCAGCGGACCACCTATCAGCGCAACTGTGCGAAATGCACAGCGATCTGATCGATCCTGCCGGTGATGTACTTGAGTCATATCGGCGCGTCGTGCTACAACATTCCTTAGCGACATGGCCCACTCCAATCAGTCCCCAGATCGTTCGGGCACGGTTGGCCGCTTTCAAGGACGCCATGACCGACGACAGCTACGCCTTGGCACCGTGCGCGATCTGCGCACGGCAGAAACGACGATGCAAACTACAGCGAGTGCACATACCAACGCCATCGACTGAAGAGTGCCCCGAATGGCTGTCTTGGCCCGCCGACACCTGGACCACGCACAAAGCGGAATGGTATGCCCAATTGGACAATGTGTTCAGCATCGACAGGTACATGGAGATTATCTTCTGCGTAGCCGGCCGCCTACACGAAGCACAGGAAAACGTGGACGTTTGCCGAAAGGACGAAGAGAGTACCCTGGGGTTCGCAAATACCGCTGCAGCGGAAAGCTGGCTAGAACGAGTGCGCTGCTGGGCGGCCGCTGTGAGAGCCGATTTGGAGGCCGACTCTATCTCCTCGCCGACGGGGAATCCAGACTGCAGGTGGTTGGTCTACCGCAAGGACATCCTCTCCTCCGACACGAGCGACGCCGCCGATGGTGCTGGCACGACGGCGTGGATGTGCAAGCATTGCGTCGCTGCGCTGCGGGAACTCGGCGGCCCCCCCGAACGACGCCGCCCCCGCGTTCGCGCGCCTCCCGCCGCGCTGATCAACGGCATGTGGCGCGGACGTGACCCGCGTGAACTCGACGACTTGACGTGCGCGGAGGGGAAGGTCGTGAACCTCGCCAAAATATATGTCAGCGTGAAGCGGGTGTTCCTGGACAAGAGGTCCTACGCTCCCGCGGCTACTTCCACGGCGCCGACGTACCACCAGGGAAACGTCGTAGCCTACCCGCAGAGCCCTGACGCTGCGCCGACGGCTCTGGGCATGCTGCCAGCCGCGCTTGCCCAGACCATGCTGCTGCAGTTCGTAGGCGCCGTAACCGACGATCTCCGTCGACACCCCGAACTGCAAGTGTCGGCGAGGCGCCTGCGCGACGCATTTCGATGGCTCTCCTCGAACAACTGGGCATTCATGCTCGCCACCAGGCACCACGACACTTGGCGCGACGGTACTTTGCACGCTGTGTTCGAAAACCTCTTGGACGCTTACAAGACAAGTATTGGGAGCACCGAAGGCGTTCCAAGGGAGGTGCTCGCTGCGGCGACACCGGCATCTGCGGCGAAAGCCTCCGTGGCCTCAGAGGGGCCTGCTGATTGCGGAGATGGCACCGATCCCGTTCACGACCAGAGTGATGTGCGCGAGGACACTAGTGCAGCAGTGGTGAATGGTGGCATGGACGACGTTACGTCATTGCGACTCTGGACGCAAGTCGTGGAGAACTTCGAAGTGGCACAGCGCCTCCACGACGAGATCAGCAAGCTTTCCAGCGACACGGACCCGTCCGCACGCGCCCACAAGAAGATGCGGCACAACGAGGCACTCGCCCAAGCCGTTGACACCATGCAGCGGATGTCCAGCGCCCATGTCCGAAAGGAATTGGAAAAGTGGGCCGCGGGAGAGAAGTCCGAGATGCCGCCGGTGAAAATCACTCACGGCGATCAGTTCGTGTCATCCCGGACGGAAGCGTTCTGGGGCGCTTGCTTCGTCCGCCTTTTCCCGCGCGGGGACTGTCAGGAGACGTGCCCGCGGAGAACGACTCGCCTTCCTTCTGCCCAATGGGCGAAGGCTTTCCTCACTCGGGCCGATGCGACGTGCTGGCGGCGCGACGTGGAATTCGTAGCCACCGTTTTCAACACGATCCTGCGGCGGGACCAGATGGCCAACGTGGAGGCCCACGTCAAATCCACAGGCCACGGTGGGGTCACTGGCATGACGGCAGACGAAGCCCAGGCACTCGCGAAGCTCACGGCCGAAGGCCTCGTTTCTTCTGCCGCCGCAGCAGGCGACGCCACCAGCGTCCGCGAGCGTCTCAGAGAAAAAGGTCTCGATCCTGTCGTCCGGAACGCCGCCCAGAGGATGAACCTCGTGCTCCGACGCGTCCGGGGCTCCGCCGAAGAACGGGACGGATTCATATTGCGATTTCGAGCTCTGCGCGTCTGGTCTGGGTGCTCATCCTTATTTTCCACACTGAACCCACACAACATTC